GCGACCCTGAGATCGTGACCTAAGCCGGAACAAAGAGTCAGAGGCTTAGCCAACTGCGCCATCCAGGGGCCACAGGGGTATACCAGTTTAGAAGTATTAAATCATCCTGGTGAATTACTCCTGGGTGGTTCTTCTTTATCTCCAATGGAGAATTTTACTGTAACATATGTTTTGTCTGGTAATATAACGGTATCAGCTTTCTTTTGGTTTGAATTGGTCTATGTTTCCCCATTCTATTACCTTTGCTTCTCCATATTACTATTTTTAAGTATGTCTCTTATAAATAGTATAGCCAGAATTGTGTGTGTGTGTGTGTGTGTGTGTGTGTGTATGCAAGTGTTATTTATCTGAGAGTTTTTTAACTGGCATGATTATGGTGTCTACGGGACAGAGACCATCTTAGAGTGACGCTGAGGGTGACAGCCACATCCTAAGAACATGGAACAGAAAGATAAAAGCACCCGGGGATATTAATGACATAATGGAGCTCCTGCACCAGCCTTTACTGCCCATCTCCACACACTAACTGAGGAAAAAAATAAACCCCTAATTGTTAAGTCACCTTAAAATGAGTTTTCTGTTTCGTTCCGCTGTGAACCAATTTCCAGCTGATTATAGAGCAACTATTTTGGAAGTTATCCTTGTATATTTTTTCCTTCCTTTCTCTTTCTCTTCTTTCCTCTCTCTAGTCCTCCCTCCCTTCCTTCCTTTGTGCTGGTATTTCTATCTGCCTCTGGAATATCAAGAACCTTAGAATATTTACATTCTAAACCTTTACCTTAAATTATAATTGTGAAACGGCGTTTTGATTTGCCTTGTTTGGCAGCTCTGGCAGTTTGTTATTTCAAACATGATTAATACAGATTTGCCCATGTTTACTGCCATTTCTGTCTTCATCATGGCTTCTGAAATTCTATTCCTTCCTTTTATGTAAGTTTCTTTTCTTTTCTTTCTTTCTTTTTTTTTTTAAAAGATTTTATTTATTTATTTGCCAGAGAGAGGGAGAGAGATCACAAGCAGAGGGAGAGGCAAAGAGAAAGGGAGAAGCAGGCTCCCTGCCGAGTGGGGAGCCTGATGAGGGACTCGATCCTCAGACCCTGGAATCATGACCTGAGCCAAAGGCAGATGCTTAACTGACTGAGCCACCCAGGCATTCCCTATGTAAATTTCTTTCTTCTTGTGGTGTATCTTTAGTTGTTCAAAATCTTATCACATAGATCAAGTCCATAGGTGGATGGGCGCCTCAGGTACAAGGCCTTAAGTGCAGTTCCTCAGGGATAGCTCCTATAGATATGAAGCCTGTGAATTAGACAAGTTTTCTGTCCCTCTCCACCTGACATGTAATGGTGGGACAGGCATGAGACAACTTAATTAACATAATTAATTAACATACAGTGTATTATTAGTTCCAGAGGTAGAGTTCAGTGAGGTTATCAGTTCTTGATGAGAACTCAAGAGCTCTACTAATTCTTCATGGCTCTTAGTTTTACCTCCTGGACCCTTGGATCCAGCCCGAGTCATCTTCCTTGTCCACAAAAGGTAACCCATCTTTGTAGGTTTAGTTTTCTCAGCCTACTTCCTGCCTGTAGGAGTTTGAGTGTCTGGAGTCTTTTTGCTTTTGCACTGCTTCTGACCCTTTCAGTTCAAGCTGGCAAGCAGTGTTCCTACCCATAGAATTCTCTTAAAAACGTCATAGTTGTCTTTGACTTTTTTGGAGTTCACTCCGTTAAGCAAAACCACACCTGCACACCTTTTTGAAACAAGCCCTTCTCTACCTTGGTTTCTTCTCTCAACTCCTGAGTAGCAATACCCTTCAGCTTCTTGGAAGCACTAAAATTTGACTGAATGGTTCTTAACAAAGCATTTTCCAGCCATGCACTCAGCTTCATCTTCATACCAGGTTTTCCTGAGCTTGTTCGGGATTTGATCTTTGCCTTGGAACCATTTCTTAATTTTAGCATTGTTTGCCATCTGAGGAGGCAGAGAAAATTCAAAGCCAGCAGATCCTGGCACCTTTTTAAGAAACCTCCTTTAGCTTCTCTCTTTGCTTTCACATTTTACTTTAAGCAGCAAGAAGAAGTCATATAGCATGTTCAACACTTGGAATTCTACGTAGCTGAATCACCTCCCCTGAAGTCTATTTCTTACGTCACATATCTCAGGCAATAATGTTTCTGCCACTACATGACAAGGGTCTCCCACCTTCCAGTTTTCAATCATATTTTCTTCACTTTCCTTTGAGCCCTTGCCTGTAAAGCCTCCTCAGAGTCTACCAAGCTTCTACTAACTAGCCATTTATTTATTTATTATACTATTTGTTGAAAGCTCTTCAGCCTTGCACTTAACACCCTCCTCAAACTCATTCAAATTTTCCATACACTTTCCAATTTCAAAGATACTCCCACATCCATTATGGCACCACAACACTTGGAAGTACCCAAATCTGTATTGTCTCCCGTTGTGTAACAAACTGCCCAGAAACTTAATGGCTTAAAACCATAATAAATGTTTATTAGTTCAAACGGTTTCTGTGGGTCTGGAATTTGGGAGCAGCTTTGCTCAGTTTTTGGGTCTCGTATGGTGTCGCATGGAGCCTCAGTCATCTGGAGGCTCTGATTCCATGATGACTCACATACGTGGCTGACGAAAAAGTGGCAGTTGTAGCCAGGAAGGAATTTTCAATTTCTTAGCCCATGGAACTCTCCAGAGGGCTGCTGAGCATTGTTAGCATATGGTGTTGGCTTCTCCCAGGGGGAGTGATACAAGAGGCAGCAGCAAGGCAGAATCCCCACTGTCTTTTATGACAAAGACTTGGAATGTCATTTAGACAATATCTTAGTGGTTACATAGACCAGCCCTAACTCAGTGTGGGATAGAAACACAGAAAAATAAATCCAGGAGAAGAGATTCTGTGGAGCCATCTTGGAGGTTGGTGAACACACAGTCCAACAGGAAGGCAGTGATTTTACTTTTCAAAATGGGTTTTGTTTTAACTTCTTTGATTCTTATTTCAAAAGAAATAAATGTTGGCCACATAAAAAATACAAGTAAACAAAATATATTTTTCTAGATACCCCAACACCCATACACTTTGAAACTGTCACATTACATCCCTAGGTGTATGCATCCTTTTATAATTTTTACATTTTAAGGACTTTACTGGTAGAGGCTTCATAAAATACATCTGAAGATGCATTGAACATGTTTTCCTGGCATTTAAAAATGAACAAACATCTCCAGTTATATTAAGGGATGTTTTTATACTAAGGGCTTTTTTCTCCCTCCATTAACTAAGTATTGCCTTTTCTTCTTATTCTGCTGGTGGGCTGGGAATTCTCCATGATACCTATCCTTTAGAGTTGAACTTTTGACAGGGTTCTTTTTCCCTCTGGAAAGCCCTTGGACTTCAAAAGTGCTTTGAATTGGAAGCACTTGGAATTCAGAAGCCACTAAAACCCTTAATGCCTTTGGAATGCTGGACTAACCAGTTTTGGAGAGAAATCTTATATACCTAGCTCTCCTGAGTTGCACAATTAGAGCTTTGACATAAACATGGCCCTCACCCCACATCCATCCCGAAATCAGAGACCCATCAACCAGCTGAATCACGGTTCTGCTGACTTCTGCACAGAGCCCAGGGTTCCTGACAGCGCCATTCTACTTGCTCCGGAGGGAATGCTCCAGGCTGAGGAAGGAAGGTGGTTCCCAAATCTTGGGTATTGCAGGAACGAGCAATTTAGTCCATGTAGAATAGAGAGCTCTCTTTTCTAAGAGAGAGAGTAAATACATGAACGAGTATTTAGTCCATGTAGAATAGAGAACTCTCTTTTCTAAGAACAGGTCTCTAGAAAAGCTAGTTTTAGTGATACTTTCAGAGTCAGAAGGGAAAAAAGGAGCTTCAAGAAACCAAGAAAGTTCTTAGCTTTGGGATCACTGGAATCCACATGCTTACTCCGTCATCACCCTGTCTTCCTCTCTCATATGAGGAGGTAGTGGGCTTCCCTTCCTTCCTTCCTTCATCCCTCTCTCCCTCCCTCCCTTCCTTCCTTCCTTTCTTTCCCCCTTCCTTCCTTCCTGGATCTAAAAAAATTACACTGGTTATACAGGTTTATTGTAGAAAGATGAGAAAATACAGATGAACAAAAGGAAGAAAATGAAAGTCACCCCCCCGCCAAAAAAAAAAGTCACCACCCAGATTTAACCACTATTAAAATTTGAATATGTATCCTTCCAAACATGTTTTCCCATTTATTAACCATTTCTTGTTTTTTTTTTTTTTTAAGAGAACTGAGTTAAAAAAAGAAACTAACTTTCTTGCATTGAACATATTTAACATAGACCATTATAATTGGTTGATTCTTTGGAACTGTTTTCCAATTTGGAAATAACTGAAAAGTATAGAAAATATTAGGCAAAAGTTAACTCAATTTTCATGAACTAGCCACTTATTTTCCTCATTGCTTCTTTTTTTTTTTTTTTCATTATGTAAAGGTAGGGATGAAAGAAGGTAAAGAGGGAAAAAGAAAGTTTGGTGGAGAAACAATGTATAACAATAAAGGAACAAAAATCAGCTAAAATTAAGAGATATTAATATGTTTCAGACCAATCTGGGGAGAAGGAGGGTAGTAGAAAACCCACATGGACCAGCATCTTTGCCCATTCGGGTGTGACAGTGAGGATGGAGCTGGGACTAGTTAAGTCAGTTGCCTGGACTGGAATTTGGTGTTGATGAAGTCAAGGGGATGTGGTTCATCACTGGGTTAAAACAGTGAGTGTCCCTCAAAGGTTCCAATCTCATGGCAGGGACAGTGCTTGAAAACAAATGTCTCACAAATGTGTGTCACCAAAGACAGCTTGGTGAAGGTGGGAATAACTCGGCATAATCCAACATTACTCCCTGGGGAAGAATGCCTTATAGCACAACTTACTGATAAAGATCCTAGTTTTTACCTGTCTGCACATGGTAACTTTGTTGGTTTGTTGGTTTCTTTGAATTACAGTCCAAATTGCCTTAATATTTGGTGCAAGAATATTAGACTATGTCTTCAATTTATGTGAAGGTAAATTTGACTTCCTTGAACGGCTCTCAGACAATCTGCTCCTGAATATCATTTCTTATCTGGATCTTGAAGATATTGCCAGGCTTTCTCAAACATCACGCAGATTTGCGCAGGTAACAGATAATTATTTTGTGTCTATGTGGGTTTTTCCTTGTGCTTCCTCAAAGTTCGTCTTCCTCCCTCCCTTCCTCTCTCCCTCCCTCCTTCCCTTTCTTCCTTCCTTCTTTCCTTCCTTCCTTCCTCATAGTTTATTGTTTGCATTCATTTTAGCAAACATCTGTTGAATACTTACTTGATCATGAGCACTGTTCTATGCACAGAGGTAACAGACATGAAAAGACATTATTCCTGCCCTCAAGAAACTTACAGTCTAATAGGAGAGGCCCTAACAGATACAGATTATTATAGTATAATGTGAGCAGTTCAACAAAGGATGTGTGTATGAGGTACAAAGAGTGCAAGGTGATTTCCTCTGTCAGGCTTCACAGAAGGAGTTATTTTTTCTGGGTTTTCAAGGTAAAATAAGAGCTCACGAGGTGGTCTGGAAGACTAGGGGCATTTCAGGTCGAGGGGCATTCCAAGTCCAGGCAACAGTTCAGGCAGAGGCATGGCCACAGGAAAGAAGGCATCGAGTAGTGAGTCTTCTATCTGTCTCCCTTTCTTCCATTAACAGCCCTTTGCAGAATTATCTATTCACAATGTTGATGGTTTTGGGGAAATCTGCTCATCATAGTGCCTTGTCCTCCTCCATGCCCCAGGCTGACGAAATAGACTCTCTCACACTATTTTGAATCCTCAGCAGAATGATGAGATCGGAAGATGCACTTGGTGTGGATTTTACCCAATGACAGGGCCTTGAGGAGACCATTGTTGGTTCCTCTCCCTGTATCCTGGAAGGTGCCTTCATTCCTGCCCCTTTAGTTATTCCTAAATGCACATATCGTTCTTCCATTCAATCCTTTTTTGGCTTAAATTAATTAGAGTTGGACTTTGTTTGAAACAGAAGAAACCTAACTTGGTATTTAGTTGTAATATACTGGGGCAATGTCCGTTTATAAAAGAGCATGCAACATTTCCCAAGATGAATTAAATCATAATCTTTTTTTTTTAGCGACATTTATTCATGGGGTGCCTGGGTGGCACAGTCAGTTAAGCATCTGACTCTTGGTTTTAGCTCAGGTTGTGATCTCAGGGTCATGATATTGAGTCCTGCATAGGGCTCCACTCTCAGCAAAAGTCTGCTTGCCTTTCTCTTTCTCACTCTCCCGCTCCCCTCACATGCATCAGATCCATCTCTCTCTAAAAATAAATAAATATTGGGGCTCCTGGGTGGTTTAGTTGGTTAAGTGTCTGCCTTCGGCTCATGTCATGATCCCAGGGTCCTGGGACCCTTAAAAAAATCTTTAAGACTGTATTCACCCATTTTTATTTTATTTATTTATATATTTATATATTTATTTATTTATTTTTAAGATTTTATTTGACAGAGAGAGAGAGGGAGCTCATAAGTAGGCAGAGAGTCAGGCAGAGAAGAGAGTGGGAAGCAGGCTCCCCAATGAGCAGAGAGCCCGATGCGGGGCTCGATCCCAGGACCCTGAGATCATGACCTGAGCCGAAGGCAGAGGCTTAACCCACTGAGCCACCCAGGCGCCCCTTTATTTTATTTATGTTTATTTATTTATTTTTAGGTAGGCCCCAGACCCAATGTGGGGCTTGAATTCGGGACCCTGAGGTCAGGAGTCATATGCTCTACTGATTGAGCCAGCCAGGTGCCCCTAATTCATAATCTCATTACCTAAAAGGTCAACACTTTTTTTCACAATCATGCCGTCATATTTCTTGATATATATACATTTTAAATAATATGATCTATATTATTTCATGTATCCTCTTTGAGGATAAAAGCTTATGTTTTTACTTGGTTTTTCCCCTAAAAATGGAGAGCCAGAAGGGAGTATTATAATTAATCACCATATATTTTTTTCCATTAAAATATGTATTAAAGAGTTGCTGCTGATAAGAAGATGATTATTCCTACTTTCAATGAAAAATAATTTTAAATACATGAATATACTAGTCAGGATCTATTGAAAACTTCTGCTAGGGCCGAGCTTGTTCCCAAAATGAAATGGAAGGATTTGTCAGAGAGTGGCAGCAACCGCAGTGTCTTGTGCAATTTGTTCCTGACGCTGAGCAACTGTCTTCTCCCCAGGTGTTGCTCCCTTCCGCTCTCGATGGCTCCCTCTTAGCGTCCTGCCATTATTTCAGTGCTGTCTTGGAAATACCCTCCGTAATTTACCTGCTGTTCTAAAGGAAGCCTTTTCTGGGTTGCTGATTTCAGCTCTCGGTATCCTTGCAGAGCAGAATTTTTTGAAGATGGAGAATGGTCCAGGGCTGCTGTGCCTTTTTCTCTCCATGTAATAGTTACTGCTCATTTCTGTCTGCAGTCTATATTTTATCTGTATACTGTTTACTTAGTTTTCACCTACATTTATCAATTACTTTGTTTTGTCTTACCATTTGCTACCTTGAAAAAAATTTCCATTTCAAATTTCTGCAGGCAAATTTATTAGCAAATTATTTGTGTCCAAGTCTAACCCTTTCCTCTGACCTTTGGGAGGGAGGTGTTCCTCTCCTCTGAGAGGCCAGTGCTGCCTGCCACCTGGCTCCAAGGTCTGAGCCAAGGGAATTTAGTCTGCCACTTATCTCCTTTCTCTTTTGGGTTGTTGTTATTTTTAAAAAGCTTTTTTTTTTTTTTTAAGTAGGCTCCATACCCAGTGCAGAGCCCAATGCGAGGCTTGAACTCACGACCCTGAGATCAAGACCTGAGCTGAGATTAAGAGTCAGAGCCACCTAGGTGGCCTTAAAAACCTTTTTGTTTACAAATAGTTTTATTTTTTTAAAGAGATTTTATTTATTTATTTGAGAGAAAGAGAGAGAGAACAAGCATGAAGGGCAGGGGAGGGGGGATGGCAGAGGCAGAGGGAGAAGCAGATTCCTCACTGAGCAGGGAGCCCAAGACAGGGCTTCGTCCCAGGACTCTGGGATCATGACCTGAGCTAAAGGTAGACGCATAATGACTGAGCCACCCAGGCGCCCCTACAAATAATTTTAGATTTGTAAGTGTTGCAAAGATAATACACACAGTTTGCATATACCCTTCACAGCTTTCCCTAACACTGACATCTTATATAACCAGGGATATTTATCAAAACTCAGCAATTAATACTGATAAAATACCATTAACTAAGCCACAGACTTTATTCATATTTCATCAGTTTTTCCACTAATGTCCTTTTGCTGTTTCAGGAACCAGTCTGGCATACTATATTGCATTTAGTTCCTATTTTTATTTTAATTTATTTTTTATTTTTTAAAAGATTTTATTTATTTATTTGACAGACAGAGATCACAAGTAGGCAGAGAGGCAGGCGGACAGGCGGGGAAGCGGGACCCCTTAGTTCCTATTTTTAAATCTTTCTTTCATTTGTTTTTTCCTCTTGGAAATTTTTTCAAATCAGCCTCATCCTTAAGAACTCAAAAACTCTAGACTCGATTTGCAGCCAATCTCTTTCCTTTTCTCCTTGGGAAAACAAAACAGAACAGAACAAAACAAGTTTACAGGGTAGTTCACCCTCAGGAAACTAGCATCATCAATGGGAGTGGAATTTTATAATCCACGATGAAATGAAAACAGTAAGTAAATGAGATATGAAGGGTTTGTTATCAAACCAAGTTTATTCCATTTAAATGATCATCATCATCATTTTTTTTTTTTTTTAATAGTAGGCTCCATATTCAGTGTGGGGCTTGAATTCACGACCCTGTGACTGAGGGTTTCATGCTTTACCAAATGAACTAGTCTAAATGACCATCCTTTATTGGAGGTTAGGCCTTCCTATTTTGGGAAGAGTTAAAATGTTCCTTCTTCTTCTTCTTCTTCTTTTTTAAGATTTTATTTATTTGAGAGGGAGTGAGCAAGTTAGAGAACGAGAGAGCACAAGCCAGGGAGAGGCTGAGGGAAAGGGAGAAGCAGACTCCCTGCTGAACAGTGAGCCCAATGCAGGACTCAATTTGGGACTCCAGGATCATGACCTGACTGAGCCTCCCAGGTGCCCCAAAATGCCCCTTCTTTTATGAAATAATGGCCTTAAAACCTGATCATTTTAACAAATTATCCAAACTTGGAAACATTTAAAAAGTTAGCAATCTTATTTTGGTTCTTAATTTTTGTTTTGTTTGATTTCCAAAAATTTCACTGGTCTTATGACGTCCTAAATTCCCAAAGCCACTAGTCTACTCTCAACCTCCTCATCTTCTTTTCCTCCTCTGCCATGCCTCAGAAATATAACTAAATGTCCCCGGCCTCGTTCACAGTAACCCCTTCGTTGTCACACCTAAAGGGCCTGTTTAGGCCTTCTACGCCCTGACCCATCTTTGTTTCCAGGATTCTCTGCTGGCTTTTCTCCTGGCCATCTCTTATGCACTGGGCAGGCTCTTTTGGGCTTTTGGCATTTGCTTGTACTGTTCCCTTCCCTAGGAATGTCCTGCTTCCCACCCACCTCTCTTAGCTCCCGCCCTCTGCTCTTGCTCTCATTCCATGTTGACCCAACAGTGGAGCCTCCACGGATGAGTTCCTGAAAGCCTGGATATTGGGTGGTTCTATTTCTCAGGGTGAACAACAAAGAGGCATCCTCTGGGAGCTTTGCTAAGATGAGCACACCCTCGAAAGGTGAATCTCGTGTCATGGGATACGAGAAAGGCAGCCGAGGGCCAGCTCTGTGATTGACCCAAAGTCCTGCCAGGTAATCTGCCAGGAGGGAACCTGTCTTGGCCCAGGAAGCACCAGGCCTTGATCCTACCCCTTTCCAGCAAACTACAGCAGAGTAGACCCGAAAGAACCTCAGCAGTTAGATGAAAGGGTAAAGCCCAGACACGGCAGGACGATGACGGTGATTGGCATATAAACATACCCATCTTGGTCGTGACTCAGGGACAGCTGCAGACTCCCTATGACTGTGGTTCCCATGTCTGGCCAAGTAGGCGAAGCACCTGGGGAGCAGGTGAAAATAGAGATGGGAGGCCCACACCCTGGTCGGTGGGCGGGTCTGAG